TAGTTACAAGTGTTTGGCGCAACTGCATATGAGTGTGTAAGATTGATGTTTCGTTTTCTCCGCCAATACTCGATGTATATGGCTGAAACTTTGCCAGCAGATAGAGTAACGCAAGGTCTATCTGTGGTATAAATATGGGACCTAAAAGATGTTCCATGGTAGAGAAATCAAAGAAACAAGCCTTTCGGTTTTTCATGACCTGGGGGATATATACTGTATATCCATAGGAAACCATTTCATCAACTTCATACTTGATGGAAAAATCCAAAAATAACTTTTTTTTACAAAACACAGAGAAAACGAAGATAATTATTTTTAATTTTTAACCGGTGAATTTTCGGTATGTTCTGAACCGGTTCCAGCACTGCCTTGTGGACCATATTGATTGTCTGCTGGAGTCTAAGTCAATGTCATAACATAAAGTCCTAAGAAAGAAAATTTTTTATTGATTGTTAATCTATATTAATGACTATTATAGAACGTACCACCTCCTTGACTGATAACTGTACTATGTTGCATTCCAATAGGAGAACTTGTTACAAAATTACTAATAGTCGCTGCAGAACAAAACGATTGTGCAATGACCCGTTCAGTTATTGTTACGTCTAGTTTGGAAAAAAAATAACTAATAAGATTGAAATGATTAACCAGCTCATGATTTTCATTAATATCTCTTTCAACTTTTGCTATTAGATTTGAAATTAAAAATTTATTTAACTGTTCTCTTTATAGAGTTATACAATACATATCATGTTGAATGTTACTGTTTTTGACATACCTAGTAAAAACATGAATTTCTAATAGCCTTTATGAGGTCTGATCAATAACATATAGAAGTTGATATAGAATGTTTTATTATACAAAAAAACAGAAATTATCTTGAACAAAAACGTTGGTGTGGCTGAATGTGTATTTACCGTCGTGTGTATAACGTACCAGCAGGTTTCTTTCGTTTTTTGATCAAAATTACTAATCTTCAAACAGATCGGAGTTAAGTTTATGAGAATATTGCATTAGAATCAATATCAAATCCAAGAAAGTATCGTTTTTATTCGATCATATATGTGTCTTGCAGACAAATCTATATAGTTTTCTATTCGAATGTTACTGAAACATCAACGAAGTTATTCACAGTTATAGACAAAAAGAAGAAGCAATATTAAATATTAAATATTATTATTATATCGGGATGTACAAACGAAAACTATTTTTGAAGAAAGAATGTTTCAATGAATAGTCGAAAGAAAAAAGAAAAAACAAATCTCTTTCTATATGTATCATTGATCTAAAACTGTTCTTGAAAACTGTTAATTATAGTTGGCGAGTAAAACTTATTCTTTGTATATTTAAGTTGATCCTATAAATCTTGTCGAAAAGAAATTAAAGCTTAGATAATAAAAATTGATTTATATATTTATTAAATATTTTGATGGTCTTTTCATGTGAACTTATTGTTAGAAGCGTTAATTGAGTTATTCTCTTGTTAGAATTTAACTTACTGATTGGCGTTCCAATGCATGATAAAATGAAAAAATTTTTAGTCTAACTTTTGAAATATAAATGTTATCGAAATGTAGTTCTAAATTATTTCAGTTTCTTATCTTTTGTTGCATAAACTATAAAGGATCTGTTTGAAAAATAATTTTGAAAATAAAAAAAATTTGTATTCAAAATCTTTTGAAAAAACAAACATACCACGGTTTGGTCGTTCGCCTATTATTTGTGGTCTTGTTGTACAACTGTTAGATGCTGCTGCATAAGCGTAAAAGAGAAATTGGATAGGTACAGAACTCATTGGAGTAGTATATGATGAGTTGAAATAGTCTTCGATTTGCAAAGCGACAACAATATACCATCCAACATAACTAACAGGCAATGTAAACACTAATGTACAATTTTCTTCAATTTGTTGCTGCATTAGAATTTGACCAACGACATTTGAGTATATCAGTACCATCATTATCCGCCATCTATACATGTTACCAAAATACATAAGTCATTTAACAATTGTTACAAAAATACGAGTACAATATGTCGATTTCTATATATCTTGGATGAGTATAGTTTATAAGAACATTGCCTTTTTCTTTTTAGAATAGATATATACGGAAGAAATACAAAAACTATTATGTTAGTGCTTAGTTTTGACTTGTTAATTATCATGTTATAAGATGATGATAAAAAGATACCAAGAAAAAAGAAAATAAAAGTTCAATTACTTGTATAACATGCACTAGCTGTTGTCCAACAGGTTTGAACAAAACAGGTAATGTATTTGTAACTGGACTGCTATTTATATATCCATCGGGTCTTACTGACAGATTTATTCGATTGACTAAAGCCCAAGTTCCATCTGCTGCTGGATACAAATTAGGTCCAAACCAGACACTGCTTGAATAACCAATTGTAATAGATGTTGTTAATGGTAATGAAAGTGTATCATAACGTTCACCAGCCCATGATCGAACCAATGGATTTTGATCACAGTCAGTGCTTGTCATTATTGTTGATAAACCACTTGACGGATACGTTGAGCTCGAACAATTAATATAGCATATCATGTAATTACTAACAGATATCTGGGTTTTAGCAATAACATTTGCTTCTGTACAACGTGTACCATATCCACTCCATTGACGATTCCAAAAATATCGTTGATGAACTTGAACTTGAACTGTCGAACCATTTGGTTGATTATTTAATGGACGCCTGAAGAATATCTTATTTGAGTAATTATTCTGTGATAGCATTTTTATTTCAGAGTATTATAATCGAATCTATATCAGAAATTTACTCAGTCAAGGAGAAGAAGAATATTGCAGAAGCGACCTTGCCTTTATATCATAATAACTGCTAAACTCTATTACTAACAACTTTTTTAAAAATAATGTACATGAAATGATGAAATCTTAAGAGAACAGATCTAATTATTGAAAAAATTCTTCGTTATTAAATATCGTCCGCTTTATTACTTCATTTAAATAGACTACCTTTTTTTTTTGTTAAGTTTATGAATTAAATTGAAACCGATTTTGATAATAAACAACTTATGTTGAGTTCAAATCGATCTAAGTGAATAGTTATTGAATAGGGACTCATTTAAGAAGCACATTTCAATAATTCTAATTGCTATTAATCACGTTCACTTATCATGATATAATGCCACCACGGAAATGATCTGCATCTGTTAAATCAAGAAGTAGTGCAAGAGTAAAGAAAATAATTTTATTCGAAAGCATTCTATCGCCTTTTGAAACAGCACGGTTGAAAAATTATACTTTAATACATACGATTTAAAATAAATGAAATCTTAATTGAAGAACTATGTTACTCTCGTCGATAATCACTATTTGGCATCTGAGACAAAAAAATACTTTTCTTTATTCAATATATACTGTTTGAAGATACTCAACTTTGTTTAAAAGATATTTAGCTTTTAGTCATATTTCACATCTTTTTTTTTCTTGTGATTATTTAAACAAACGCCTTGTTTTTTTCGTCCTTTTCTCGATTGTTTAAGTGAAATTTCTTGTTTTCATGCTTCTAAAGAAACTTTTATGCCATAGTCATGTTTACTTACTTAATAAATATTAAAAAAAAATAAGAGGTGTAATGTGAGTGCTTTTGATTAAAAGAGAAATCAATAATCGATTGACAATCGGATAATTTATTTATTGAATCAATACAAATAATAACAGTTGGAACTGATCAAAAAAACTTCAACATTTAATTGCTATTTAGTTTTTTTCATATAAGTCATGCATAATATCATTATTCAGAATAGATCAAATAGAAATCTATCAATCAAACTCATTCTTATTTATTTGGATACACAAAAATGAAACTATGATTTCATATTGTTATACTAATCGAATCTGCTACTATTCAATCGCAATAGATCACACAGATTATTACTAATGAAGTTTTTTATCAATTTCTAATTATATAAGATGTTTCTTTTACCCGGTTGGATTCAAATAAAACAGACAAATTACTTGGCAACAATTTTTTTCTTTAATTTTTTTGTTGTTTTTATTGTTATATTCCATAGGCGATCAGCAGATGTCTGTACATATTCAAAGCTATCGTATCACATTCTTGACGACAATACTGATGCATATGAAAGAAAAACAAAAAGTAAATCCAACGTAGTCAATTATTCACTAAACAAAATAATATGAACTCAAGCCATTGAAAGAGAATTGATGAACATTCTGTAAGCATAATAAAAGTGCTCAAAATGTTTACTTTTGCTCGAATGAAATAGGTGTCCGCAAAAAAAAGTATTGATCAAATTAAGCCAAAGCGAATGTCAGATTCATTCTCTTTTGTCCCGAAATACCTACGATTTATTATTATTCTAGAATGTCATATAGAAAAATAACATCATCTATATAATCTATCAGAACATAAATCAAATTGACTAATACAACGATTTCATTAGATATCATTGTCTTTCTCTATCAGAAAAACTAATCAGTCTAAGAATGTATTTAAAATACTATGTAATTGGTTGACTTTATAACAGTGAGTAAAATAATCAGTATATCATTATTCAGTGACACAAAATATAGTTTATGCATTATTCTTTAGATTTCTACAATAGGTAGTTTATTCTAATTTGTTTTATTTTATAAAGTCTGATTTCAATTTCAGTTTGCATATAGAAATGGAGAATACTATAAAATAATTATATAAATATGAAAATTATTTTAATGAACTTTTATCGATTGGTAAAAGTCTAGGCAAATATTTGACTCGCAATATTCTTACTACTGATCGAACTTTCTATTGTTTTGACTATATCTATATATATATGATAAACTTTACTAAAGAACATTATAAATACGATATCGGTGAAACTCATAGAATATTTTACAATGATCTATAAATAGATAATGATGATGATGATGATGATGATCAATTCAAAGATAATTATTATTCTCACTAATATTCTCTGAAAACGTGGAAATACTCTAAACAAAGATTTATCAAATCGATTGATTGTTTGGTTTAAAATATGAACTGATTCACACGATGTAGCAAATATTAGTTTATCGAATTCTCATCTATTTCAATCTATATGTGATGAATCCTTAGTTGTTTGTTGTCATTCACTTTAACAAATATATATCTGTTATATAAATGTTGAATTCGATTGTTTTGTTTGATTACGCTAAATTTTTTACCATTCATTTTCTTTACCAGCACACAGTGTCTAACTTAGTTTCAATATCAATTTCAATGCTAAAAATGTCACTTCTAGAATAATAGATATTGAAATAAGTGTACATCGCAACGTCCTTACGAACAACTTGAAGAAACTCCTTTTTAGAAACAATTCTTTTGCGGAGACCTTAATGAGCGTTGCGATCTATGAATAAATGTTTTATTGGCTTACAAAAGTTTTATTAATTTTAAAATTATACTTCTGAATGAGAATCAATTCACACAAATACATGAATCCTATTTTGGCCAAGAAGCATCACAATAAGTTCATACACAATCAACTTCGAAGATAAAATTTTCTTCAATCTAGTAGAATAAAAAGTATTGGAGCATAATCATTTGATTTCGATAATAATCACTTTAAATAAACATCTAAAGGTCACACATATGCACGCAACGATAAGAGTAGACAGTTATTCAAAT